AGCAGGAGAAACACCTGTCCCTGACAGAATACCTTGCTTCGCACACACTCTACAGTTATCTGTAAAGGATGGACTTAAGGATGCTGGCCAGTTGAGGACAGTGATTAGCAAACTTTCAAAATTAGTGTCTTTTTTTTTCAGGAAATTTCATCTTGCTTCTGAACTCTTAGAGAAATGCAATAAACTACAACTTGCTAATGCTACTAGGTGGAACAGTCAACTCAAAATGATTAGAAGTGTTGCACAAGTTCCAGATGATATTATGCAACAAATAGCTTTCTTAGATAAGCCAAAAGCACACGAAATAAAATTATTGCAAGATTTGTGTGGGATTTTGAGACCCTTTGAAGAAGCAACAAATATTGCTCAGGGACAAAATATTGTTACAGGTAGTGAGGTTATTATTTGTGTTCGATCTCTTCGTGAACAGCGGGAAAAACTAGCAATAAAATATAATTGCCAACTTGTTACTTCTCTTCAGAATGCATTGGACGAAAGGCTTTCCAAGTTTGAATCAATGGAGATATTTAAATTGGCAACAGTGTTAGATCCAAAATACAAACTTGATTGGTGCACTGATGAAGAAGTGGAGAGACAAAGGCTGGACCAGGCTTAGGGTTTATGAAAGATTGGTCTAGTGCTACTTACTGTACACAGGCAAACCAAGTTGGAGTATCATCTGAGATCAATGCATATTTGTCAATTCCTTGCATTGCTGCCGATGATGACGATATTGATGTTCTTGGGTTTTGGAAAAATTAAGGACAAATACCCAATCTTTGCTAAACTAGCCACTGTTTATTTAGCCATACATGCACCATCAGCACCTGTAGAAAGGATTTTAGTATAGGAGGAAAAATTTTTAGGGCCAGAGCGGTGTCGTCTCAGTAATAATGTATTTGAATCATTAATGTTTATACATTGTAACTATGATTTAAAACTGTAATTATTATTGTAATTAAATTAAAATGTAATTGTAACTGAGTTGAGAGACCTGAAATGTGATTGTAATTTTAAATGAGGCTATTTGGAACAAATTTATGCATATGAACATGTACTTGTAATTGGAAATTTGTAATTGACCCCAAGTCTGCTTACAAAGCATACTGTATGTTTTCCTTCTAATTCTTCTTTTAGGACATAGTGCCACAAACCTAGAAAAGAAAAGACTACACATTTAAAACAGTTTCTTAAATTCTTTCTGAAAAAATTACATGTAACATGTATACATGATAACAATTTTCAATATATTTGTGGGTAAAGAATGTTTTGAATAATCCATCAACGTCATAAAAGATTTGACAATAAGGCAGGTATTTTGTCTTCATTCCTTGTAGCACAGTACATGACTTGTGGTAATAATAGTTTGTGTCTACACTACCTTAGTAGTGTAGCATAGTGTCCTTTCCAGTTATACAGCTGTATTGTTTGATGTGATAGGAGTATCTAATTATATACAAAAGATCATAATGTGTATTGTGTACTTATTATTAGCAAAACTTACCTTAATAGTGTAGCATAGTGACCTTTCCTGTTACACAGTTGTATTGCTTGTGTCACTAAACTATAATTTTATATAAAAGATGGTAATGTCTATTGTGTACTTATTATTAGTATAAGTCACCTTAGTAGCGTAGCATAATGTCTTTACTGTTACACAGTTCTATTACTTGTTGTGTTAGAAGTATCTAATGGTATACAAAAGAACGTAATGTGTAATTTTTACTATAATTCACCTTAGTAGTGTAGCATAGTGTCCTTCACTGTTATTCAGATGTATTACTTGACATATTAGGAGTATCTAATTCTATACCAAAGATTGTAATGTGTATTGCGTACTTATTATTAGTATAACGTACCTTAATAGTGTACCATAGTGTCCTTCCCTGTTATGCAATTGTATTGCTTGTTGTGTGTATAATATCTAATTGTATATCAAAGATGGTAATGTGTATTGTGTTGTTATTATTGTAACTTACATTAATGGTGTAGCATAGTGTCATTCACTGTTACACAGTTGTATTACTTGATGTATTTCAAGTGTCTAATTGTATATAAAGATGGTAATGTGTATTGTGTACTTATTATTAGCATAATTAACCTTAGTAGCAAAGAATTGTGTCCTTTACTGCTATACAGATGTATTGCTTGATGTGTTAGGAGTACTTAACTTTATATAAAAGTTTGTAATATGCAATGTGTACTTATTATTTGTGTAATTCACCTTAGTAGTGTAGCATAGTGTCCTTTACTGTTATACAGATGTATTACTTCATGTGTTTGGCATATCTAATTCGATACCACAGATCGTAACGGGTATTGTGTACCTATTATTAGTATAACTTACCTTAATAGTGTAGCATAGTGTCCTTCCCTGTTATAAAGTTGTATTCCTTGTTCTGTCTGTAATATCTAATTGTATATAAATGATGGTAATATGTATTGTGTACTTATTGGTACAATTCACCATAGTAACAGAGCATAGTGTGATTTACTGTTATACAGTTGTATTGCGTGATGTATTAGGAGTGTCTCATTGTATATAAAAGATGTTAATGTGTTTGAAGTACTTAATATTAGTATAATTCACCTTAGTAGCATATCATAGTGTCCTTTACTGCTATACTGTTGTATTGCTTGACGTGTCTTTAATATCTAATTGGAAATAAAAGATGGCACTGTGTATTAAGTACTTATTGTTAGTACAATTCACTTCAGTAGTTTAGCATAGTGTCCTCTCCTGTAATACAGATGTAATACTTCATGTGTTACAAGTATCTAATTGTATACCAAAGATTGTAATGTGTTTTGTGTACTTATTATTAGTATAATTCTCCTTAGTAGTGTAGCATTGTGTCCTTTACGGTTATACAGATGTATTGCTTGATGTGTTAGCAGCATCTAATTTTATACAAAAGATGATTATGTGTTTTGTGTACATATTATCAGTATAACTTACCTTTATAGTGTAACATAGTGTCCTCTCCTGTTACACACAGCTTTTGTCACTGCATGCTTTATCTAATGATTTTCAAACACATATAACTGTTTTATTTTATGTTGTACAGCCTTTATAACTGGCTTAGATTAGCTCTCCTTCACTGAGCGATTCTCCTGGTACCTTTAAAGTGAACTGTAATGTAGTGAGAGCATTTCTGGAATACAGGCCCAAATTCATATTTCTTCAAAATTCTTCAGACTTTTTCTTCTTTCATCTTCTTTTATGCACCGGATAATCTTTTAATCTAGAGAAGTGCTGAAGTTGCCTTTTACATCACTCCTCTGGGCTTGGGTCAAGGACCACAAAGGTAGTTTCAAAAAGAAACGAGGACAGAAAACAAAATGAAAGACAAAATCCAGCTGCAGCCACCGTGTGGGTT